TTTTTTTTTTTTTTTTTTACCCTAGTGAAGAGGAATGCCTTTGCATGCACACACAGTGAGGAAACAGCTAGGAGCAGCTTCTGAAGCAGCCACACAAGCCTGGAAAAAGATGTGCTGCTATAACAATATAAAAAGAGTCGCTTTGGAATGCACACCCAGATAGTCCAATGCACTTACTCTAAAAATTTGCATAGTCCGATTACTTTTATAAGGGACTGTATTAAGCAAACAATAGTGTTCCAGGTTATTTATATCTTATGTTGCTGAAAACTCAATTGGAAAGGAAAAAAAAGACCTTAAAGGGAAGCAATAGAAAAACATATGGAATTGTTCAAAAAAGTATTTTTCTCCATTTAGAAACACAGATTCCACATTAGTTTGGACAGATTCTTCCCTAGTGCCAGATTGTTCTAGTTAAGAATCTTTAACTTCTAAGAGTCAAAGTGCTTTAGCATCCAGTTCAATATAAAAGTAAAGTCTCCTTTGTCATGCTCAATTTCTGGTGACTTTAGAGAAACATACATGTTTTTTTGTTTGTTTGTTTTGTTTTGTAAGTGGTTTACCATTGCCTTCTTCCAGGATGTATTTTCAACTTCTCAGTCCAGCTTACGCTCCTGGAATTCCTTGGTGTTCTCCCCACAAAGCACAACCTTGGTCTGACCATCCTTAACTTTTCAAGATCAGCCAAGGTTGGCTATGTTACCATCTATATGGACCAGTTCAACATACCTGCAGGCAAAAAGTAGAAAGTGGGGTTTCCAACCTTTTAACTTTGCAAAAATAAGTATTAAGAGGGAGAGCAGAGGCATTTAATCCTTACTCTGCTCATTGTTTTTTACTTTAAGCCAGGATGGATTAAGGAATGGATAACCTTTTAATAGCCAAGACCTGCATTTGTTATTTGGGGAGGGTAGATTTACGGCTCCAAAGTGGGTGAGAATACATCATATGTGTGGATGAGATTGGAGCAGGGAGGTGTTTTAGAAATGTAATTTTGTTTTTAAACTATGGTATGCCTTTTTTGAAGGCTAACACTATAGTCTTCTTTTGTTTCCCATCTAGAAAATAATAGGAAACTGTCAGTTTTCAACAGTTATGTTAGAGAGGTTTCTGAGGGCCACAAAAATGGAATTCAGAAGCTACATGCTTTGGGAATACATCCGTGTGTGTGTGTGTGTGTAAAAATAAATAAAATTTGGATCCCTCAATTCTGAAAAACTATTTCATGGTATAGGTTTGAATGAGAAACTAGAAAAATGGTTGCTTCTCATGTTTGAGATTATGCAGAATAGGTACATTCACATCTGGTTGCTGCACTTTTGTCTAGGGACAAAAAGAAGCTTGGTTCCCTTGGAGGATGACTTATGCTAGGGACTTAAGCCAGGGTATGAGCAGAAGCAGTGCAAATTGATTAGTCTTCCCATACTTCTAAGCTGCCTTCAGATATACCAAATATGATATCCTAGGTTATTTAGCAGGGGTAGGACTGAGGGACATACTATTATAGCAGCTTCAGTCCTTTCTGAAGGAAACTATTCAGCAGGTAATGATGTGAACTTTCGTTCTGCCTCATAGCCATTGCCCATTATACTGTCTCTTGCCCTCTTCTTCATGCTTGAAGCCAAGGGGAGAAATCAACCATAACGTGATCAATACGCACATTCTCTGCAGCTGTACTTTTTCTTTCCTCCAACAATTTGCTGGGATCACCACATCTAAATGGTGCCTGGAGACACTATTGGGATGGGTGAGAGGAGAACAAACAAGCTGTGGCTTCATCCAGATAAAATGAAAATAGTTAACCTGTGAATCTGTGGAGGCGTGAGACCACGGTTAATTGGGATTGCAGGTGTCCTGAGGAACCAAGCGGTCCGTGACTCAGCACTATCCCTAGAACTCTATCTGATGTTGAACATCTTAAAAGAATTTGAATAAATTCAACATTCAGATTTCTAGATGAAATGCTATTGAACTGTATGGTAATATATTTGAACCATTTTATATAATCTATATAAAAATTGAATTGCAGGAACAATTTTGAGGTAGCAGCTGAGGCTTCCAGGGGAGGAATGTACTTTCCTATGCCCAGCAAGTAGCAAGCACTGACACAGTACTGTAGAAATGTAAAGCCAAAATGTTAAATTTGTGGACGTTTCTGTATTTTGTTTGTCTGTATTGATTTGGTGCTCTTGTTTTTCTCACAGTCACCTGAGGAGATTGATAAAAAAATACTGAATCCTGATGCAGAAAACAGAAATGCTCCAAATGAGCCAATTGAAGATACTGATGTATTCACTCGAAAACACTCAGAGAACCTTTTTCAGAGAACAGAGGTTCTGGCAGGTAAGGGCCATGTGTCAAGATATCTGCAGTTTTAAAAGAAGCAGAAAAAAGTCTGCAGTCCCTGTTAGGTTCCTGCAACCCATTGCTATAGGTTATGTAATGTGCCTTCCCCACTTAAATGGATTTTCCCCATTTTCCTTTTGTGCCCAAGTTATGCCAACAGTATAAGGCTATTTCTTTTTTATTTTCCCTTTTCAGAGTGAAGCTACCTTTCCTTACATCTTGATAATATTAGCACACCAAGACATTCTTCTTGAGTGACAACCTAGGGGGAAAATTAAATATTCTTCACCTGTGCAGGACTGCAGCCAAGAGAAGGAGAATCTCAAGTATGGGATTCAAAGATACTTTTAATGTTGCTTCTAAGGCTGCAATTCTAAACACACCTACCAAAACGTAAATCATTTTGAACTTGGCAGAACTTAAAAGTAATGATGATTAGCACTGAACTGTCAAGAAACATTGGATATTCTTCTCTCCAGAAAATACTGTGATCTCCGTCCCATTCCTCCTGCCCCCTATTTTTATGATCTGAGCTACTGAATCCAAGGACATGTTAATTTTAAGTTATTATGGTCAGTCATGTTCTTGTTATGATAAGGCACTTTGAAAAGTTAAATTTCTATTTCCTGTCAAGAATTGACTTTGCAGTGTTTAAGAGTAACTTCATGGCATTCAGTGGAACTTTTTTTTCCTTTTTTTACAGCGGTTATTGCTGGTGGAATCATTGGCTTTCTTTTTGCAATCTTCCTTATCTTGCTTTTGGTGTACCGCATGAGAAAGAAGGATGAAGGGAGTTACGACCTCGGGGAACGTAAACCCTCCAGCGCTGCCTACCAGAAGGCACCTACTAAAGAGTTTTATGCATAAAACTCTAAACGTAGTGTCTCTATTTAAGAGATCACTGAACTTTTTAAATAAAGCTTTTTTTGGCCTAGAATAATGAAGAACTTTTTTTTCATTAAAGAGCCTTTATGGCACCTTTATGATAAGAAAAAAAATCCCATTGTATTTAAAACTTTTCATGTATTCCTTTTAAAAAAATGTAAAATAAAATCTTAACATTTTGCAGTATTCTGTGAATAGCAGTGGCAACATATGATTTTATATAGCCGTTGATGTTCACTGAATCATTTACAAAACTTTATGCATAAGTGGAAATGATTGTTTTATCTGATGGTTCAATGAAAGTTGTTTAATTTTGTCAGCATGTCTGATGACTCTCACAAGTTAGTTTTTATTTCATTAATTTATCTGTTCTCCAAAATTAAAATAAAATGCCTTTTTGTAGTTGTCATGGTGCAATTTGTGTTCATATAATTCAGATAATGGTAACTCTTAGTGTAAATGTATTTTTTCAGCTATGTAAACCTTAACTTCCATTTTGTATAAATTTTACTGTCAGAAAGTACATTTTACACCTTGTTTGTTTCTCAGTGGTTTCTGTAGCTTGATTGAAATTTAAAGCAGCAAATTAATGTGTAAAATTGGACTACTATTGCAAACTATATAGTTACAAAACAAATCTTTATAGGAGATCTTGCAGTAAGCTACTGACAAACCTACATAAACCCAAAGACTCTTTAACAGTATTGCAAGGGGTTGCTGCAAAATTTCTTTGGCCACTTGTTTTTTATTTCATTAATTGCAATTTGAAGGTACGAGTTGGAATTCAAAATGAATCTGAATTTTTTGTTCTTTTTTTTTTAAAAAAAACATTTAAAGTAAATGTCTTTTAAAGCCTTTGAAGTGCCTATGATTCTATGTAACTTGTTGCAGACTGGTGTTAATGAATATATAACATTAAAACAAAGAAATGTTGGTATTTTATAAGCACAGACAATTCTAATGGTAATTTTTGTAGTCTTACATGGATAGACATAAATTGTAATTTGGAAGCATAAACACTACTGAATAAATCATGTGGCCTAATACTGAAATATATTATTTGTTTTTTTTTCATCATCCTGCATAATAATATAAATAGCACCTATTATATGACAAAGGGATTTGTGTGAAAATGAGGATCTCAGAAGACTGTTAGCAACATTTTGCAGTAGAAAATCAGTATTGCCTTGTCAGCATTTAAATATATCTGGAGTTTCTAATTCTCTTTTAACACTGAAGAAATTTTAAGCACTAATTAATGGGGGCTACTTCTGTGCAGCTCATATTTATATGAATATAAAGTCCCAATTCTCCCTGTGCTTTAAGCATGGTTTTCTTCCCTTACTCAGCTTTTGAAACTAATAATTTGATGTTAAGTAGTTTAGGGAGAAGGGGCATGATTATTCTATATCAATAAGTGGTGAGGATCCAAAATAGCTGTAGCTTGTCAGAACAATTCTTTTGATAGACACTGAATAGTGGCCCTTGCCACTATTTCTCTGAAGAAAACAGTAATGAGAAAAGTCAGATACAGAGAATCGGACAAATTGAGCAATCCTGCTATCGTTGCTAAGATGGATTTGAAAACTAATTTGTAAGGAAAAAGATAAATCAAGAACACCAGTTTTGGCCCACTGAGGCTTCTCTGAAAATCTCTCCTTCCACAACGTTTTTATGCAGCTCCTTACAAGGTGTCTCTGGTCTATGGCCTTTGGCCAGAGACCCCAAATATCAGATGCTGACTGAGAACCTGCATGCTCATTTTTGCCAACCAAACAAGAATATAACAACAAAATGCATTTAATCAATTGATGTAAGCAAATAGTTATTCTGCATTAAATCATATTCCCCTGGTGAGGTTACAATTTACAAGAAGAAAAAGGGTTATTTAAACAGACTCACACCAGTGGCTTATAGATTACAGAACAGAGGAAATTAGAAGCAGAGGTCTCTGCACACAAGAAGAAAAACAGAAGCTCCTGCGCATCCAGAGTTCAACCACAGCCAAGTCAAACCCCTCAATTAGCCCTTATACACCCAAGCTGTTTATTCCTCTGAATGTTTCATATTCCGTTAGTTTGGTTCTCAGTTCCAACATTACAAGTGATGCCATGTAACAAACAGGTGAAGCACATGACTAATACAGTTCCTGCCCTTGTGTCTATCAAAAGTAAACATGTTTTGCTACATCCATTATAAAATATTAATTTTGTACAGCAGATTTCAGATTCAGTTCCAGAAAGGTTCTTGGAGATTGCGTCAGGAAAAGACACATATGCTTGAAAGAGTTGTAGTCAGATATTGTCTGCATTAAGCATTAAGGGGGCATTAAATCAATGACAGATGAACCACTTTTGACTTTTAGGCTTAAGGATTTTATTTTGGATGTGACGGGGAGACATGTTTTTTCACTTCATATTGAGAACAATGTTTGATGGGATGGATTGATTAACAGATCTAGTAGGAAGATTAGAGTTCATTCTTAGGTGTAAGAATTGACCATTTTGAAAAGTCCTCCCAGGTACTGGGATCACGATATTAATATAGGAGCTCTGGCATGGATGTATTTGGTTTTTTTTTAATATCATTTTTACTAGGATTTTTTTCAAACAAAAGACAAATCTAAAAGAAAAAGTAAAAGAGAATAAAAGAAAAAAAGTATTAAGAAGAAAGAAAAAAGATTAAAAAATAACTAAAGAAACAGAAATAAGTGACTTCTGACTTTCATTGTAACAGAAATTAACAAATTAATTACTTAGCCTCCTTCCTTAGTATTACAAAAATCCCTTCAGCTTTTTCAATCATCAAATCTATAAATCATCACTTCACTTTTCTCTGTTTTCAGCAAAAAGTCCATAAAGGATTTCCAGTCTTTTACAAAAGTGCTTATCGTTTTGTCCCTGACCAAACAAGTCTATTTCGCCATTTCTGCCAATTCTGACATCTTCACAATCCATTCCTCCATTGTGGGAATTTCAGTAATTCTCCATCGTTATGCGTATTACAGTCTTGCTGCAGTTATCATATACAAAAATCTTCCATTAGTTTTTTTCTAATTGACTGTCCATAAGTGCCAGTAAAAATAATTCTGTTTTTTTGCTCAGTATTAGTCTTTAAAAATTTTTGTATCACTGTATGTATTTGTATCCATTTTTTTTTTTTTTTTTGCTTTTTCACAAATCCACCATGCATGGTAAAATGTCCCTTCATGCTTTTCACATTTCCAGCATTGATTTGAAGTACCTTTATACATCTTTGGTAGTTTCTCTGGTGTCATATACCAGCGGTACATACCTTTTAATAAATATTCTCTCTTAAATTATAACACAATCCATTTACCTACATTCTTTCCCATTTATCCATTTGTATATTATAACCAAAATTCATAGCCCATTTTATCATGCAGTCCTTAACTTGTTCAACTTCAGTTTCAAATCTTAACAAAAGTTTATATATTTTTGCAATTACATGATCATCATTTGTCCATAATTCATTTTCAAAGCCCGCCTTATATTGTTTAATTTCAATCACCTTTTTATCGATATTAAATGTTTTTCTTAATTGTGCATATGAAAACCATTGAAAACTGTATCTGAAAACTGTGGCTTTGTGTTTTTATTGAGTCTTAATGCAGTTTTAGTTGCTTTCTGTTCGTTTTGTTTTAATGTAATTCTCTGTTTTTGCTTTCTTTGCCACCCAGAGTTGGATGATATCTTGGATAGATGGGTGGTGATATAAATTGGATGGATGGATGGATGGATGGATGGATGGATGGATGGATGGATGGATAAAACTGATTTTGATTCTGTTACAGCTAATCTTTCTACTTCCCTTGATTAGCCAAGCAACAAAGCTAAATCTGTATTGCCAATCACTGCATATTTTGAGGTAGGCAATCAGGAAGTTGAGAAAACGTATTTTAGGTGCCCAGCCCTTAAAACTGGTATATGAAAAGTGGTCAGGACTAGAGTACTAAGTCCTGTTCAATTCATTTGAAAGCATAATCAACAAAGCAAATGTGCATGTAGGTGTCTGCAGGTGGAGGCAGGCGATGATATAAAGATGTTTGGGACATTGCAGCTTGTATCAGATGCCTATTCCCAATTTATGGAGACTTTTCCTCTCAGTGCTGACCCAGCATTCTAATAATCCTTGCTTTTGTTTGCCAACTTTGACACGTGCATGACGTTCTACCTTTATGACAACTTTATAACTACGGCAACTGGGACTGCCGGGATTGCTAAACGATGCGATCACGTGATGTTGCAGTTT